ATAAATTGGAGACTATATGGAGAAAGTCCTGCTCAGAACACTAAAACAAGAAATCCCTTCCACAGAACAGATGGGTTATCGTCCTACCTCTAGGGAGGTAGGCAGCAGGTTCCAATCAGGTTACAGAATATGCTTCTCCTTACAAGCCGTGAGGTTTGCCCCGTTGGGCGCTAAATCAAGAAGAAGACACACTTTGCTGTGAATCGAAACAGCCAAAGGAATACAACACAGTGACTTCTAGATGAAGATTTTCAAAGTTTTAATAAGTACATCCTGTGACCGATATTTAACTTCATACAATACTTCAATTAGGCATAGATAGATATCAATTTAAGAAAGTAACACGTGTGCCAAGTATGATCTGTTTGAATAAGGTGTATGTGACTTTATAGTTGGCTTGGGATTGAAAGTTTTTTTCACAATATTCCCCAGTCTACAAAAGACTAAAACAAAGGCACACTCCAGAACATTGTGTTAAAACATGCTACTATCCTATATATTTCACACATGCCACATGTCCACAAGTTGAGCCCCTAAATGGTTTGACTATGCCAGGAGATATTTCAATTACACACATAATCATCCTACTTGAGTAATTTATACACAAGGTTGAAGAAATAGAGGATGCACAAGTATGCTATGCAAACACATAAGAAAAAATCACAGGAGGCTCATCAAACATACTGTTTGCTGAGCATCTTTGATCCCTTCAGAAGCAAATGCAACTTGGTCTAGGTTGAACGTCTGGTTGTAGAGCATATCACGCTGACCTTCGTACCTGTTCAGGATTACACGAAGTTCAAGTACGGTCAAAACAACATATATGCTTATTATGTGAAGGGTTACCAACTGAATTAATATGAGTAGATGCAACTGAAAGCACAACTACAAGAATCCAGTTTCAACATCAATCTAGATATATATATATATTTAAATTTTTAACTACTCCTGATTACATTCACTGCCCTACAATGTCTGATGCTTCTACTAATGTTTATCAGAAGAAGGAATGGAAGCACTTCAAATGAACCTCACAAATTTTAATTTTTAGCTAATCCACTGCATCTGAAAGCACATATTCGTCTCACTCTTGTTCAAGTTTTCACCTGCAGAATCTTCTTCAGAGCTAAAATCAGCCTTGTTTTACAAGGTTCTTGTTGGAATTATTTGTTTCGTAGCACAAAAACATCAAGCATTGAACATTGAACTTTTGGGTTAAGATCAACATATCTAGTGATGTTGTCATCATACATAGCCAGACAACCAGGCCATGAACAAAAGCTGTTTACCATATTGTTGTAAATTGCACTTTGTAACTAGCCAACTCAAACTGCTGGAAGAGTGTTCCAGATACTCCCTACCCCAGCAACAAATGAGTACCTATTGGTCTGTTTGCCTTTCTATACACTGTATTGTGGAAATTTCTAAGCAGTGCAAATCTCAAATGTAAAACAAAACTCATCCCACACAATAAATAAGACCAACATGCTTAGCCTGATTTGGTGAAAAATTCATAGTCCATAGACTAGTTTAAATAACTCACATCCTTTTTTGCTTGAGAATCCTCATGGCTCGAGCTTTGACAGCCTCTTGAGCTGGACCAGGCCTGGTCTTCTTTAACTGCTCTTTGTATCTAGCAAGTTCAGCATCAAGCTTCTTGATTTTATCATCCACTGTATCACCTCTTTTATTGATCTGCAATATTAGATATTATACGGTTACAAATCTTATCAACGAACAATTAAATAATTTACAATGTCATTATCGCCAAAACACAAGCACAGAGATACACTTGATTCATTTATGAAATAAGCAAGGGCTTTGGCAGTAAAACTGCTAGCAAATGCGAGTAAATTATCAACTCATGGAAACACCAGGTCAAAGAAGGGTTGGTCATGGATATACTACCCAAAAAAAACTATACAATACTATGTTTTCCAGAAGGCATAAGACAGTCAGATTCCACTTCAAGCAAAAATAAATCTCTACTCCACTAAGTGGATAATTGATGGGTTGAGCGATTGACGGTGTTCAGGTTAGCAGGCTGTCATCATACAGCTACAACAAGATAGCCACCAACATTTATAAATTATTGCAAAAACTAAATAGCTTGGGACAAATACAAGATCGCATTTTTAATCTAGTGTTAGCTGCCTACAACTTATATCTTAAGAAGTACGGATTAAGCCGCAATAAGATGCACCAAATCTCTACCAATTTAGTGATCTTCATAATCACCTCAGTTATCTTCAACCAGACTCGATATCAGACCCTTGGAAAGCTCCAGTTTTCAGTAAACACCATTTAAAAGCAAAATACTGAGAACATTATGCATCAATACTCTAGAATTAAACATCTCAGTAACAAAGACGGGACATAAAAGGAGGCTATAGCTTTTCAGTTATGTGAAAATACAGAGCTCTATAGATTTCGGCCGCGTTACACAAGCAGGCATGCATATAACATACAATAAAAACAGATAGTATCAATTCATCTAGTTCAAATCGTTCCTGCGAATGGAAATAACCGAATCAGATCAACTGGAGATGGACAAAGTACCCGATCAGAAGCGTCTTGAATCGAGGGAGGAGGCTCTTTGTTTTTCTTAACCCCGAAGACTCTCTTCATCTTCTCGCTTGGTTGGGAGAGAACTGAGGTTTCGAATTCAAGCTAAACAGCGGAAGGATTCAGGGAAGAGAATATGTGCGCGCGATGGGTTAAATGTATATTTCTGCGGTGACGACGTGAGACAGTTGAATTGGGGAAGGAGACTTCGCATCTAGCTATCCCAGAGATATCCTGTCACAATATTTTTAATATTTAACATCTTATTTTTTGTTTATTTTTAATATTTTTAAAAATTATTCTTTATAAAGTTTTTAAAAATCAGTGTGTTTGAAATAAAAAAATGAATTGAAAAAAATTGACATATACCTTATCTACATTGAGTCATTGACCAAAACATTTTATTTTTTTATTTTCTAAAATAAAAGAAAAGCCTCTTTGGGCGCTTAAAAGGGAAAATGGGGAATATAAAAAAAAAAAAAGAAATGAAAAAACATAATAAAAAAATTGAAGAAAATAGAAATATAAAAAAATCTTATCGAAAAAAGAGAGCATAGACATATAGTACGCTGATAAAATTCTTTTCAATCAAAAAAGGTTGTATTTTTAGATGAAAATAACTAAATTAGGAGTAAAATAAAAAGAAAGTATCAAAATAGAATTTTCATATTTTTTTAATTTTATAATAAGATTATAATATGAATAATGTCAATATATAGTACTACAAATATATTGAGATACCACTATACAATCTCATAATATCAGAATGCAAACTCTTATTTTCAGATAAAAATATAGAACTTCTATTTTGAATATAGGTATTATGTTTTACTTTTATTTGTGGTAACTTTTTTTAGATGTCTCAAACAAATTTATTTTTTAAATTTAAAAATGAAAAGAGGATTTTAAAAAAATGGATTTTGTTGGACATCATTCCAAAACGAGAATTTTATTCTATCTGTTGCTTCCGTTCATTTCTCTATATCTCGCCGGCATTTTTTTATTTTTTGTTTGGGAATTTTGCTGCATATTTTTCAAGATGTAATTTTTCAGAATTTGGAGAAAATTTTGACAAAATAAAAATATAAACTATATATATATATATATATACTCGTATATAATTATAAAAAATGTATAATATCAATGTCATGGTTGGAGTAGAGATGAAAAAATTAGAAGCTAAAAAAATGTTCAAAAAGCTAAATTGACATTTAGCCTTTAATTTTTTAAGCTCTCCCTTGGAGATGCTCATCTCCAACCATTGAGTTTTGACTTGTTAAATGTCATTATTTGGTAATCCATTTCATTTTTTATGCTCCAAGGGGCTTGCTATATTATAACACACTTGGTAAAATTTAACTTTGACTTGTCATATATAACAAACCTCTCAAAATATAGCAAACCATGATATTGATTAAATATTTGATTTCTCACTTATTTTCTCTCATTTTCCTTCTCAAAATATTTAGTTACTTCAACTCTCTAATTTTTTTTTACTTTTTGTAAAGTTCTTTTCTCTACTCTTTAATTGGTATTTATTAAATATTCAAAAAAATGCTCTTTATATTGTATTATTTTCCCTAAAGTAAAATATTACTCCGTATTGTTTTTTGAAATTATTATTTTTAAATTACATAATTATTACTTAATTTTTATAATATAAATAATAATTGAATAATTATTATAAGGAAAGTATTATAATAGTTAAAAAAATATAATATAATTGTTAGCTAAATTATAGTAAAGGAAGGTTGGAGATGATAATGTAAAATGGTTTGCTATAGAAAATTACTCACGGGTGATGCGAGTTTTGTTGAAATAACTCTCAGGTCCCTCTATTTTCAAGAAGACAGCAGAGGTCCTTACATTTTGTGGTAATGACTAGAAGGGGACATTTCATCTAATATTTATCTATAAACGTTAATAAATTTATTTTTTTCCTATTCTTTTCTAAATGTTTTAAGGTAATAAATCTTAGGTCGCTCCTTTTTTTATTTCTTTGTTTTTCTTTCATTTTGTTACTATTTTTTAAAGTATTATTTTAGAATTTCTTCTATAAAATCGAATTAAAAATTCAAAATTATTTGTATTATATTTAAAAAAATGAAATAAAAAAATTTTAAAAAAAGAAAAAACAAGGTAATGGCAAAATAAGAAAAAACGGTATTGGAAAAATAGGAAAAAAATACATTTATTAACACTTACGGATGATGTATTGGATGAAATGTCACCCAGTCATTTCAACAAAATATAAGGACCACGGTTGTCTTTTTAAAAACCATATCACTATTCACATGCTAAAAAATAACTTTAGCAATTCATGTTTAGCAAGTATGATTGGAGATGTTCGAGTAATATTTTGCAAGTATACTGGCAACTGGCGACTGGCGACTAGCATAAAAAAGGTAGGGAATTTGTTCTTATCTGTAGAAAGAACCAAAAATAGATTTAAAAAAAAAACAGAACAATCTCTGGGATATACAGCCTTCCGGATCCGGCAATAAAAAACAGACACGTTATTCCGGTTTCGCTGTGATGGAGGAGGGATTGAAGCTGCAGCAGAGGCACGGGAAGGCAAGGGTGAGAGTTGCCCGGGTATGGAGAGAAGAAGGAGACGACGACGGCGGCACACATCACTTCGCGGAGTGGAACGTCAGCATAAGCCTCCTCTCCGATTGCCTTCCCGCCTACATCGCCGGCGACAACTCTGATATAGTCGCCACCGATACCATGAAGAACACCGTATGCCTAGCTCTTTTATACTGATCGAATTATTGTTTTAGGATTCATGTGGAACGTGATCTGTTTATCGGCGTTAGATATTCCGATCTAGACTATTTGTAGAATTAGATTTCCTTGGTATGGTTTGATCTATTATTATTGGTAAATAAACCCGTTTAACTGAAGATGTTTAGAGGAACTAATACAGTTTGCATTCATTCAAGAAAAGCGCTTTACGAGGGAAAAATGCGCTCTGATCTGTTTCATAATCATTGAATTGTATCATTTGGGCCATGGAATAGGTATATGCTAAAGCCAAGGAATGTTCCAAGCGACTCTCAGCAGAGGACTTTGCTATTGAGCTGGCCAAGCACTTCACTTCATATTATAGGCAGGTGAGATTATAGAATATATATTCCCAATCATTGGTGCATATGCTTACTGTGTTTCTCTGTTTGGTCACACATGAAATAAATTAGTGTCATGTAAGTTCATTGCTATTAGAAAACCAAGCTGTTTTACTGCAATTATTAAAGTTTGGTTGATATTAAGATTTCCATGGTTGTGTTTCTCTGTTTTTTATATTTATGAGTGTTCCCATAGGTCACTGCTGCTATCATCAGGATAGTAGAGAAGCCATGGGAACGTGTCAACGTGAACGGCCAGCTACATACACATGGTAAGATATCTTAGACATGAGTAAAAAGTGTGAAAGTACACTTCTATATTATTGTTATCTTGAAATTACCATTGGCTCCCGTGCACTTCTGAAAATTTTCATCACTTCATGTAAAGAAAGATATTTGGAGAAGTCATATTATAACCCGCTAACCACATGCCATGGATAGGAGTACACGAGCATGAATTCAATTGGGGTAGGATTACAAATGATGAAATGATATGAATATGGTATTGAAACAGATAAATTTTGCATACTTGCTGAAATTTACATTTAGAAATCGCAAGTAGTTCCATTTTTTTTCAATTAGGGCTGAGGTTGAAGTTAAGGTCAACAGCCAACTGATAGAGTGTCATTAAGTTGGATTTGTATGTCTAAAACCCAAAATGGTAACAAGGCATCACCGTTTTTTGGCATGTTATTTCATATTCATCACTACCTTTTAAAATATGAAAGTCCCATCCCTTCTTCTATGTAGTACCAGAAAACCCAACCTCTTCTGCAACTAGCAATCTACTTATATCATTTAGCTAATCGACAAAATTCAATTCTCTGCCTGTATGAAATGTGTTGCGATGGTGGAATGTTGAATAGAACAGGAATGTTCTTTTGATGATGTTTTCTGTTTTCTCAAAGGTTTTAAGCTTGGGTCTGAGAAGCACACTACTGAAGTGCTCCTAGACAAATCCGGCGGATTGCAGGTTACATCTGGTGTTGAGGGTTTAGCAGTGCTGAAGACAACAAAGGTATCTTCACTTAGACTGCTAAACAAACACATGTGTCTCAACTCCAGACTGCTAAACATACTGACATGCATTTTTTCTTGGTTGCTTTCTATTGAGTAAATTTACAGTCAGGTTTTGAAGGGTTCATAAGAGACAAGTACACTATCCTGCCTGAAACACAAGAAAGGATGTTGGCCACAGAGGTTACAGCATTATGGAGGTAAGCCGTCGTTCATCAGGCTGTTTTTTATCGTTCTAAATGTAATTAAACTGTTTTCGTTTTGATTATTATTAATGTAAATTCATGTGAACTAAAATTTGTTATGCATTTCATATAACCCATTACTGTCCATGAGGAAGTTTAGGGAGAGTCCACAAGGGTGTTTCTTGGAAATGAAGTGTCTCTACATATACCTACACTTTTTCCAAGACGTTGTATGAAAAAAACCGGGAGGATTCCTCCCACATATGTCAGGTAGGCAGGTTTCGTGTGAAATACTGTACCGTTTCTGACAAGAACCGTCCATCTATCTATATCTCTTCTTTTGTCCCACGATTAAATTCACACTTTTCTCTTTTATCTGGCCAAAAATAAACTTCAAAAATAAACTTCACACTTCTCTTTCTTTTTTTAAGAAAGGAATGTGTGGTTCACAACATTTCTCTTTCTAAACAAATTCTCATCAGTCATCAAACACTTTTCACACCTTCCACAAACACTTTCTGTAAACTCTGTGAAATTAAACTATGTATTTAATTTGGGGACTCAGGGAGTATCATAATTCGAGTGTGAAGATTCCATACTTTTGGTTGTCATGATTTCAGGTTTCAAGACATAGAATCAATCCACTTAAAGATGCCAAACCTTCATTTTCTACCTGTCAACTTGTCAAGCAAAGATAATCCAGCTATTGTCAAGGTAGGAATATTTTTATGGGGAATTTACTTAATAGCACTAAAACATAATGACTTTCCCTAAATAGCATCGTATATGTTTTTTTTTCAATCTAGCATTTTTAGTCATTAACCATTAGTCATTATTCAAGTAAATATTCGCAATCACTTGACATTATTCCTCCTTCTGGACATTATTAAGTGCTAGTTAGGGAATAAAACAGTTTAAATACTTTTTGGGTAAAATGATTTAAGTTTTAGTGCTATTTAGTGCGCAAATATTTCATATTTTTATTACTCTGCTGGATTTTCTATTATAATTTTATACTCCATCCTTCGTCTCGGTGTATTTGTCAAGTACTAGCATTCTTTTTTAGCATTCACATTGGATTCATCAACTTTCCAATTAAGGCAAATAAATGAAACATACTCCGTATAACATTTCATTTACCCACGTTTCAAAAGTATCAGCACTTTGGATATGAGAAATCATGTTTTTACTGTACACCAAAAAGGAAGTGGTCCATGCACACCATTGCCTAGGATTTTATGTTTTGCTTTTTGGATATGAGAAATCATGTTTTTACTGTACATTACAGTTTGCTGATGATGTGTACTTGCCAACGGATGAACCACATGGCTCGATCGAGGCAACTCTGAGCCGCATTCACTCAAAGATTTGAATCCTGGCTTTCATCAAAGGTCAATGGTAAAGAGTACTTCACAACACGTTACCCTTATCCCCTATCCACAGCAGAAAATTAAGTAAAGGACTTTGCACTTATGACTTGTTCAATGTTCATGCAGTCTGTATATAGATTGCTTCTATTGTGCTTGTTTCTATTGATTAAATCAACCAATCATCATCACCTTACTCGTAACAATGTCGAGGTCAATCGTACAAAATTTAGTCTCAATTAATTACGGAGTATATAAAATTATTAATCATATAACCTTGTTTTAAAATATTCCATCCGTCAAATATTTTTCTTATCATTTTGAATTTGCAAGTTTTTTTTAAAGTAAGATGGGAAATTTCAGAGCCAAAATTTAGAAAAAAAATTAAAATAAGAGTAAAACATTAAAAATATACCAGAATAGGATTTTCATATTTTTATGTTCGAAATAAGAATGCATTTATAAGTCATTTATGATCATATAAATTACCAAAAAGTATTGTGAAATATCTATGTACATTGTCATATTGTCAGTGTTAAGTGCTTTGAAGGCCCAATCAGTCCAGACTAAATCCACATCTCTCTTACTCCCATTTTTTATGTCCGAAATAAGAATGCATTTATAAGTCATTTATGATCATATAAATTACCAAAAAGTATTCTGAAATATCTATGTACATTGTCATATTGTCAGTGTTAAGTTCTTTGAAGGCCCAATCAGTCCAGTAGGCAAGCCCAGACTAAATCCACATCTCTCTTACTCCCATTTGATGAAAGCTCTCTAGCATCAGCCTAACTGACATGTGTCTAGATCGTACAAGGCAATTTTTTTTATGCTTTTTAAGTTTAGACTCATTTTATAAACTTTAATACATAAAATATTTGTTTGTGTTGAGCTTTGTTACAAAAAGAGATTCAATTATGAGCTCGTTAAAAATTTGTAAGAAGATTTAGATTTTACATGTGAATCTTAAGACTACAATTGCATAAGTCATTAAAAATATATTTCCTTCCTCGATACAAAAAATGATTGGTCTTGTTTGCTAAGTAATGTTTCAATTAGCGTTGACATTTTAAATACTTTATTAATGATGTTGATTAATTTTAAAAATATTAAAAGTAAAAAATATCATTGGCCATCATTTTCAAAACAAGAAAAACTAATTGTTGAATTGTTGTCAAACAGGAAAGATGCCACAAATAGTTTTGGCTCATGTTTATTTTTTTAATGATATTGATTCTATTACAATGTAGTATCTGTTCATACTTTTTTCATTCTAATGAAGTACAAATAGTCAATGTCTCTATCTCCGCTGGGGATAGAACATGGGTGAATTTTCACATAAATTCTCGAGAGGCTTTCTACCACTTAAGTTAGAGGAGAAATTCAACACATTTATCTTCAAATAAATTTTATACTACAAAATATTTATTTTAACACCACATTTCTTTTGAAATTGATTAATTTGATCTTCAAATGACACGAGATACATACAATGTTTTATTAGTAAATTTGATAGTTTCTATCCCCTAACTCGCATACACTCCATTCAAGTCACCCCTAGACTGACCTCCCCTGTCCCCTGCACTGCAACACAACCTACCCTCTAGATATGTGATTTGAGCTGGTATGGGGTACCTGAGGGGCTATGGCCGTAGTGATGAGCATAAAGACTAGGATCGAAAAGATTGATTGAAATAAATTAGAATTGGGACCAGAAAAGATGAGACTGATGTGATCCTTGAGACCGATCCGGTCTTGGACCGATAGTCTCATTTGGTCCTTGATTTTTATAAAAGACTAGACCGATCCCAGACCGAGTAGTCCTTTTCAAAAGACTAGACCAAGATCAAACTCGGACAAGAGGACTAGACCGGACCGGGAGTAATGTATTTGAAATATAATTTTTATATATGTACATTTGTACTTCACAATTTGATTTTTATATAAATATATTTATTCTATTAATAGAGAGCATAATACATTACATAATTTTATTTAAGAATTTAGAAATAAGTGATAACAAAAAAATCTCATATTCATAAAACATACATATTAAACTCATTTTTTTGTTAATTTTATCCAACTTCCGTCTCGCATTATAATATTCATGTTGCATATTTATTATAAATAAATAAAGTATAGAAAAATTAAAATTAAATAATAAATAATGATTTTTTAAATTTTTACGAGTATTTTTTTAAGAACAAAAGTTTAAGAATTTTACATATTAAGGACCGGACCGGACTTGGACCAGTCCTCACGGGACTTCTCGGTCCCAAAAGGTCTCTATTTTTTCATGAAGATCAGACTAGTTTGATCCGCTTTTTAAAAAAACCGGATCAATCCCGTCCTTAATAGTATTGGTCTTTTCAAGGGACCGATCCGGTGTGCCTAGTCCGATCCTTTTGTCATCTCTAGTTATGGGGATAAAAATTATCAATTGTACCAATGTAGCATTGCAGGTGCACCACAATATCAAGGTTGTTTTTAAGCCAAGGTCAAAAGATTTTTGACGTTATTTTAATACTAATTTTATATGAGAAGTTAAATTAGCTATTAAAATCTAAATATTTTTTTGATCAATACATATGAACTTTTAAATTAATGATTAAATTTTACAAATGATTCCTAATTACAGTTGGGTTTTCATATCTAGTCTCAAATTCTAAGATATTACATAAATGATATTTGATTTTTAAAAATTATTCCATATTCGGCGCTTCAGAGATTATATGTGGAATTTTTTTCATATTTTACCTAAAGAATTAGTTATGAAATATTCTTTCTAAAAATGAGAATCATTTATGTAATATCTTAGAATTTGAGACTAAACATAAAAAATTATCTATAATTAGAGATCGTTTATGAAATTTACTCTAAAAAATACGGAGAAGAGATCTTTCAAAACTCTTAACATTTTTTGTTTGAAGATTCATTAGGTAGAAGACTTTCAATGTTAAAACTCGTTTAGTTTCATCTTCACCTTACAGTATTACTATATCATCATCTATGGATGAAGAAAAGAATACTGGACGGTGAAGATGAAACTAAAAGAGTCATGACACATACAATTCTTTATGTAACTTTCTAAAACTTTTTTATTTTTGTACAATATATGTAGAGAAGAGTGTGTTAAACATTTTCTGGACTTTTGTAGAAAATAACAATGAGAAAGTATTTCTGCATATGCCTCTCGTAACAACCTGAATACATATAAAATGATTGTATGTATTGGATCTTGTAAAAAAGAGATTCATCTATAAGCCAATGAAAAATATCTAAGGGGCTGTTTGTTTCAGCCTCTTAATGGTTCAGATGTCTGAATGGTTCAGTACTTAATGGTTCAGACTGTTTGTTTCAGCATCTTAATGGTTAATGGCTCAGACATTTGCCTCTGAATGGTTAAGTATTATACAGAGTCTGAATGGTTAAGATCTCTTATCTGAATTGATCAGACATTTGCCTCTGAATAGTTAAGCAATATACTAGCTCTTAATGGTTCAGATCTTTACTGGTTCAACACTTAATGATTCAGACCTCTTACTGCTTCAGCACATACCTATTATGAAGTTGCCAAACAGCCCCTAAGAAGGCTTACATTTAACATTTGGATCTTAGGACTATAATAGAACAATTCTAATTTAATACTCTATATTTTTATAACTGTAAGTAGGTAAAAAGACAAGTACATACTATTCAACAACTAAATAAAAAAATCTACAAAACTAGATGTGACATGACTATATTATTTTATAAAACGTGCAATGAAAATAAGCTAACAAAGTGAATAAATAAAGGTTACACTTATGAATAGTGAATAATAAAATACTTTTTGGAAAAAGGGACTATAATTTTTATTTCTAAACTCTACACCGATTTTTACTTATATTGATTTGAAAATAATGTCAGTCAAACATCGTAAACTGAATATGAGCATTATTCTACGACATAGGGAGTAGATCTTTACACCTGTCATTTTGAACACCCACAACAAATTGTGCATTTTAGAGACTAAGAGCTTGTTCTGTTTATATGAATGATCCTAGTCTGATCAGAATAAGTTCAAATCTAATTTGATATGGTTTGATCTGATCTGATTGTAGTCATATTTAAAGTGGTTTCTAAATTTTAATCTGATTTGATCTGATTCTAATAAAAATAAGTAATACATGTTAAGAATAAGTTAAAAAGAATAAGTTTTAAGATACCTTAGATCATATTGGGATATTGAAAACAAAATTGAGTAGAAATTACTACCTCCGTCCCTGAGTATTTGTCCAGTTTTGACTCTTTTCGATCAACCGTTTTCTGCCTTTGACCTATAATTAAATAAAATATATATTATATATTAATTAGATATAATCATATTTTGAAAATATTTGATATAATAAATCTAATAAAACTATTTTTTATCAATATCTAATATCATTTTTATTTAATTTGAGGTCAAAGTTTACCAATTTTGACCAAAAAAAGTCAAAAGTGACAAATACTCAGAGAAGGAAAGAGCATAACAATAGTAAAAATGTCAAAAAGAAATAAAATAATTAAATCACCTTGGATGCTGTATAGGACAAAAGAGTATCCTCAAATTGGATTGTCATTTGGAATTGTCAAGTTCATCCCTAATTTGGCAAGTCCAAAAGAATAAACTGTTAATGTTATTAAAAAAAAATAACAACCATTTCTCTTGAAAAATTAGAAAAGTGATGAAACTCTCTTTTTTCACCTCAAGAATTTCTGTATCTCTTCATTTTCTTATTTGGTATGGAAATATAGAATGAGATATATGAGGCCTCAATTTATAGCAATGATCAACCTGCACAAATTATGATCAGGGAACATTTCCCTTAATTTCGTTCAATCTAATTTCCCTTTACACCCCAAGTCCACCCTTCTTTTTCTTTTTTCTCTAAATTTTCATTTTCCAACTTGCATTTTTTTAATATCTCCCGTTCTCATCAATGTAGTATATATTCAATCTTATAATCTATATCTTTTAAATGCAGGGATGATGTTCGAACACTGAATGTGGAGGAGCTTGGGTGACTTGTTCGCCACAATGCCAAAATGCTTCCACAACATACATTTTAATTAACTGTAAATTTAATATTTAAAACTAATAATAAATCCATTAAAAAAATAGATTATGAGAAAAAAATTAAAACATACGTTTAAAAATTAAAAAAAACTAGACTATGATATACGGAGTATTTAAAAGGATTAAACTAAACTAAACTAAAAAAATAATAAAACATACTAGTACATTTAAAAACAAACATTCATCTATAAGTAACTAAGGGTCCATTTGGTGAATCTTGGAAATGTGATAAGATGTTCACGTTTTGACTTTTAAGAAAATTAAGGGAGTGAGTGATATGTAAAAATAAGATGTGATATATAGGTTAAGAATTAATAGGAATAAAAATAATTTTTATTAGAAAATGAAAGAATTTTGTGGGACAAGAAAAAAAAGAGAAAAGAGATTTTGGAACGGAGGGAGTATATTTTTCTCCTAATTTGGGGTTATTTTTTCTAAGTAATGTTAGCAACTCTAGACCGGGAGGGAGACTAAGAAAGTACTTTTTTCATTCTTAAATTAATAAATTACGTAGTAGTTAAACACTATTTTTTAATTAAAATTTAAGCCAAACTCGAAGTTTAAATTGTCTCATGTACGGGTGGACACAAACCGGTTCTGGTTCTTAAACCGCGAATTCCAAAACCGTCGATGGAAGAGAACACCACAGGTATCGATTCAAAATCTCTTAGGTCCTGTTTGGTACATGGAATTCAAACTATGGAATTGGAATTGGTGACTTCAATTCTAATTCTGCTGTTTGGTAGCACAAAAACTATGTGGATTTAGAATTCATAGAGCAAAAAACGAATTGGAATTGAAAAAATTCAATTTTATGGAATTGAATCCCATGGAATTTCAATTCCAATTCAATTCCAATTCCACCAATTCTGTATACCAAACGGACCCTTATTGTTTTTTTATTTTGTTAAATGAATTTTTTGGTACAAAAGTGATAAATATTTATTTAAATGCAGACATACATTTGTTACTTGTAAAATGGCTAAACTAAATGCAATTAATGTCTAAACCCGGAACCCCCACAGGTACTGTCCGGAGAGTTCCCATTCTGGTTCATGAGGTTCTGATCATCTGATGATTCTGGTTCCCGTCCCCATATGATTAGAGGCGGCCATGGATTCCGCCGAAAATCAAGAGCCCCACCAGTCGCCGCCGTCGCAACCGTTCTCGCCCACACCTCTGACTTCGAAGCTCTTCACTTTACTCTCAGTTTTGGTACTCGTCTCAGCAATTTCATACGGGATCACCCAATCAGATCCCTACAATTTCCACCTCTTCCCCCAATCCAACATTTTACAAAAGCTCCGAAATTTTCTTCGCCCAAGCCCCACACGAGTCCTAAACCGGATTCCGTCAAACCCCATTCTCACACCCCCTTACTGTCTACTATGGATGGCCCCTTTCTTGTCAGGAGGTGGGTACAGCTCAGAATCTTGGTCATACATCTTATCCTTGCATCAATTCTTGAAGCATCAGAAAGACCCGAGATTTAGGGTCAGCATTGAGCAACACGGAGATCTTGAAAGCATAGAATTCTGGGAAGGTCTATCAAAGGAGATGAGAAACTTAGCCATGGAGTTCCATCAAACTCAGTGTAGATTGAATGAGACTATTGTGGTCTGTCACAGTGAGCCTGGAGCTTGGAACCCTCCTCTGTTTGAGACCCTTCCATGCCCACCAATTGGTTATGGGATCTTCAAGGCTGTGATTGGGAGGACCATGTTTGAAACTGACAGAGTAACTCCTGATCATGTGAAACGGTGTAACTATATGGACTATGTTTGGGTTCCTACTGATTTTCACGTGGAAACATTTACCCGCAGTGGCGTTGATCCTTTGAAGGTTGTTAAGGTTGTCCAGCCTGTGGATTTGGAGTTTTTTGACCCGGCCAAGTATGAGCCTCTTGATATTGCTGCAATGGGTGCTTCAGTTTTAGGGAAGTCTGATTCAGGGAAAGATTTTGTTTTCTTGAGTGTTTTCAAATGGGAGCATAGGAAGGGATGGGATGTGTTGTTGAGTTCTTATTTAAGAGAATTTGACAAAGACGATGGGGTCACTTTGTTCTTGTTGACAAATCCCTATCATTCGAACAGGGATTTCGGGAACAAGATTGTTGAGTATGTTATGAAGTCTGGTATGAAAGAACCTGTTCATGGGTGGGCACCGATATACGTGGTTGATGACCACATAGCTCAGGTTGACCTGCCAAGGCTTTACAAGGCAGCAAATGCATTTGTTTTGCCATCCAGAGGAGAAGGGTGGGGCAGGCCCATTGTTGAGGCCATGGCAATGTCACTGCCCGTGATATCCACGAATTGGTCTGGCCCAACAGAGTACATGACTGAAGCAAATAGCTATCCCTTATCTGTTGGCCAGTTCAGTGAAGTTGGAGAAGGTCCTTTTAAGGGGCATTTGTGGGCTGAGCCATCAGTTGATGAGCTGCAAATGCTTATGAGGCATATAGTGATCAATTATGAGGAAGCCAAAGGCAAAGGAAAACAGGCGCGTGCTGATATGATGGCCAAGTTCTCTCCTGATATAGTTGCTGGGATTGTTGCTCAACATATACATCACATCATTGATGCTGCCGATTGAGATTTTTTTTCCGGATGAAGAAGAATATTTACATCAAGCCATTTGCTTATGGATAAACTGAGGGTGGTCGATGAAGACTTCATCCCCATAACCGCTTTTAAAAAAGAGAGTCCAAATGGCATTTGTAGGATGAACCTTCTGTTTGTAGCAACAATGAACAATGAACTACGGATAGAGGGATCAAAAAGGATGAGGCATAGCTATACTTGTTAAATATGGTATGGATTGTTATAACGTAAAGTTGTCTATACCAGTGTACAGTACGGAGTATTTATATCTGACCCTAAAATTTCTGATTTCTTTCTGCCTTCAGAATAAGAATTCAATGTTGACTTGTAGTGGCAAGAATTTTGTTTGTTTTGTTTGTTTGCTGGCATTGCTCCTCAATTCGGATTATGAGTTCCCTAAGCTTCCAAAATATTTAATATAGGTCTGGTTCAATGATTACTTCTATCGTGTGGCTTATTGTAGTTTTGTAAAGATTGTAGGAGCACTCACACAAGGAGTATAGTCTGCATTATATCTTGAACATTTGCAAAGTAAGTTCATTTCAATGATTTAGTTAAGAACATTTCTGGAAATTCATGTAATGAAACATCTCACAGTATGGGTTCCTTCCATAAGTTGATATGATGCATCATAAACATCACATGCTAAAAGGGAACTATATAAAATGTTCATAATAAGTCGTGAAAAAGAGATTATTCAATTTCAAGAAAATGTTGTCTGATTGTATAATTGCGATATGTATACATTAAAAGTGCAGGAAGTAGAAAACTCCCTTTTGGTACACCAAATTATTACAATAAACAAACAAGACAGAACACGGCGATGCAATTAATGCTTTTAAGCAGATGTGTATAGGTTCCGAATCCTCCAGAATTTCACCATTTGAGCTTTTCTGGGAAGTACTGCAATAGAAGATTTTGCAATATTCAGTAAAACAGAAAAGCAAAGAATGGATCGTTTAGACATATTAAGAAACAAAAATGTTTCTTGAAATTTTACCTTCTTAATGAGAGACTCATAGTATGGCTTCACTTTCTCAACATCAATCCTGACTTTGCTCTTACTGTACAGATCATATTGGCTACACACAGAGAATACCGTTTCAGATATCAAAGGAGGGAGAGAGAAAAGACATTATGGGAAGAAAATCCAAACAACATTTACTTGAATACTTTGAGCCATTTCAGATTCTCCCGATCCTCCTCGTTCATCAGGTGAGTATATGCACCTGCCTTGTGCAGAGCTTCATGACAAGAAAAAAAACATTAAGCTTTGAACTACGCATGCTTACAATTTGCATTTGTTGGTTTGTACTTTTGTAGTATTTATTTGATGTTGGTTCCATTAACCCTTAACAGTGAACACGCCCGTGGAGAATTTGAAAAAAAAAACTAACCATAAAAGGAGTGGTATCTGATTATAAACAGTCCAGCATTTGGTAGTGTAGTCTTGTTTTCCTTAGCCACCTAAAAGTGAAAACCACATCCATCCATAATAATACAGAAATCAAAATAGTGTTACTAAAACGATTGAAAGAAAGAACGAAAGAAAGAAAGAGGATGAAGCTTTTACCAAGTACATGTAGTCATCATGGCCCCAAGACATAAGCACATTATCCAGCCCACATCCCTCCGAATAAACCCCGTACTTAGTGTTGTAAGCGGGATTATCATAATCAGGGTTCTCCTTGAAGAACTGAATCATGGAATTCTTAGTGAATTTCTGTTTTTTTCCAGATGTGCGCCCGTGGTGGACACATGATAACTAGTACGGAGTAATAAATGTACTTCATTTTCAAGTTTCAAGAACAAATTAGACAATTTCAAGAAAAACTTAAATGTAATCAAAAAACCAAAAATGAAAAGTTCATGGCTTGATGCATTAAATATTCATTATGGAGTCATGTTAACTTATAATCAGCTGTCACGGGAACACTTTAGGAACACCTAAAACATTAGATACAATTAGCTGAATACCATACCTCAGGATGAACATTTGAGTCATCAAATGCACAACCAAGAGGAAATGTGTCACCTGGAAAAATGTAGAACTCAACACTACAAATAAATGTGAACTTTGAACTTTCATAGTTAACATATTTTTGTACACCATTGATCTCACCTACAACGGCCCATTGAGGAAGCTCTCCAAAGCTCGGTAGCAGCAGAACTTTGCCAAGATCTATCACATCAAAGATTGAAATTTTAGCCTTCAACTTAAGTATAGAAAATAGTGCTGTAGAAATTGACACTAATGAAGACTTTCGTTTTCATCCTGATAAAAAGAGTAGTCCAAGACCCAAAGGTAAAGTTCATATTTTTTTAAAAATATTTATATAAAAATTCGAGGATTGCAAACGAACCATGGATAAGTGCAGTCAAATGGAGCCAATCCTCATTAGGATAGTCTTTCCTGATGGCTTCAGCTGTCTGCAACAAATGCTCGATTTGGGGTTCATCCAGATCGGGATCACTATCATCCACAACATCATTCAACAGCTCACAACATTCCCATATGCTCATCTCTACCCTGTCCATCTTCCCATACTTCTCCCTCATCTTCTTCACCTGCATTTAAGATCATAAGTCATAACCATTTAGATATATAGTATGAGTCTGTTTCATTTCTCTTGCGCGTCTGCATATTATAAAACTTTCTTACGAAATCGTAGGTGTGGCCAATGTGGCTTTGCCTATAGAGGTCCTTAACAATCTCCTTCCTTGCCGTATCTGCATTATAATCCCTGCAAATCATCTTTTTCCTCAGTTTGAACGGTTGGCCCAAATACACTTTAAATGTGATATTTTGTCAATTTTTTTAAACTTGATTTATGGAATTTAAACTGACCTGAATGTGTTACCAAAAGCATTGCTCCCTGGCACGACGAAGCCACCGTTTTCCACTTTCTTTAGCTCTGCAAAAAAACAAGAAACGTACAAATCATGAGAGATGGAATCGAAACAAAAATAAAAGCCAGCTGATTAATCGATTACCTTCAGGTGCCATTCCTTTCTCCTGAACGCCCATATCTGAAAAAACGTAAAAAAAAAAACACATCATTATGAAACCTCTGTTTGTACTCACTTTTACACCAAAATAAACATTTGGGATACAATCAAATCCAGAGAAAGATGAGACGTCGAAGAAAAGAAAAAATGGTACGGAACAAACCAAGCTCGGCTTGCCGAACAAGGATGGTCATCCTGTCACAGATGAGAAAGAAAACTAAAGCACTTGGAAATTGTCTGTATATGGCGGTTTAGCTGATGAGCTTACGTTTGTGACAGTGAGGATGAGAAGAAATGAGAGAGTTTGGGTTTTATAGGCAACTTAGATTGTGTCCTTCCTCAACAATATCATAGAATTTGGAGTCCTCAATCGTAAATCTCATCAAGAAACTGAGTCATCATCGTCATGGCAGGGCATCATGCCATCATGGATCTTTATCCATCCCAATGTCTGCATGTAAAGTTGTTATTAGATCTTTTGGTTTTGAATTATACTATTTATTGGTTATCCATAAATATCATTTAATTAAGTGAACTTGACCACACTGTGATTAATTAACACAACGTTAACTAATTACCAGGTTTTGCATTAATGTTGGATGACTCAGCTTGAGGTCACGAAGACTTTTCCAAAATCCTTTATTCATTGACTATTTGACTTAATCCAATTGGGATGAGAATGGGTTACACAATAGTAATCACAAAAAGTGGTCAAGTTGATATACTCCTTCCGTCCTAATTTAAGTACTCTCACTTTCTTTTGTTTTTGTGTTTGTCTGAAATTAGCTGTCAAATCTTTCATATTTACCGAAGAAATTACGATAATTTGTCTAAAAGCAGATAGTTGAATCCGAAATGGAGAGAGTATTTATTTCCATAATTATTGTTTTACAAAATTGCGCACATAGATTTCCAAGAAGATCGCGGTTCGCGACGATCTGGGAACTAAGATCGTGTCGGATTGTCGGTTTGTATTTCCGTTTTTATTTCACGAAGATGACGTGACGACGATTCTGACAATAGTATGCCTTGTCTCACGTTTTTACTTACGTATCATGTTTTTTCGTGACGTCTGCAAATCTATGATTTCAGAAGACCACATTTTTTTCTTCCACTTTCTTTTTATAAAAAATTTATGGTTCATATTATAATCTTTCCTCTATACTAGCTACAAAGGTTACATTTTTAAAAGTTATGTCTTTCTCATACAAGAAGATAATATTGCGACCAAGAAAGTAAGTTTTTTTCTTATATAATAAATATGTAACTTAAAATGAGATAGGTTTTGATATAGAATAATAAAATTTTATGGTTGTAATTTATTTAAAAGAATTAGAGATTATTTAGGTAATGTTCTTTTCACCTGATTTGTATGAATCTGATCTGATTGAAATAAGTTTTGATCTAATCTGAATGCAGTTATATTTAAAAAAAATTCTGATTTGATTTGATCTGAACTGATTTTAATAAGAACAAACAATAATAAATATGAATAAGTTAGAGAGAATAAGGCCTTACAAAAAAGGATAGTGTGAAACTTAAACAAACGTGAAGCCGTGAAGGGGCGGTAATGTATATTCCATCTTTTTCCAAAGAAATTCATATTTCTATAACTTCGATAGTAATTACTTTTTCAAAGGAGTTGTTCATGTTTTTTAGGCTACTTGTGAAATGTAGAGTTTTTTTTTACATTTTTTATGGGTTAGCAAATGCATCTTTTATAAAAAAAATTGCAAAAAAATCTAATTCTTTTATAATATTAATAACTAAGGTTCATAAAATAAGCATGGATATTAGGATCACGTAAAAATTTGCTTTTTCGAAAGACTTTGATAGTTCATTAATTAGAATTATTATATCAAACCTATTTATATTTAAAATCTATTTTTATTTCTTCAAATTTTAAGCCCGTCGATACACATAAGAATTGGGCTTAGGCGGATTCAATTGTTAGGTCGTTTTGCGGTCCAAACTTTTTGACTATTTGGCGTTATCCATTTGGGATGAGAATGGGTACACAATAGCAATCACAAAAATTAAGAAGTTGCTCGACTGAAAGGTATGAAGCCACTCGAACAAAGGAACAACCAACGTGTGTTATTCAAAGAGGGAGAGGAGAGGTGAGCCAGGTATGGGTGAAAGGCCACCAAGATCATATCTAGTTGGTTTTCCGCGAAATCTATTTCAATAGAACATGTGATGTTGATGGCTCGAGGTAGAGCACTCAATGAGTAAGGGTGGTTCCATTTCGCCTTACCAACCCCTAGTCTTTAGCATTCATTCCTTTTGCATCTACAGTAAAAAGTTTGATGTACGCAATAGTTTGCACGAGGCCAGATTTAGCTCATGTAGTTGGTACAATTAGCTGCTTCCTTTCAAATCCTGGTAAGGAACATTGGAGTGTAGTGAAGTGGATTACGAGATATCTCCGAGGCACGTCCCGTTTGAAACTTGTTTTAGTAGTGGAAATCCTATTTTAAATGTCTACACATATTAGATTCAGATATGACTGGAGATATTGATACCAGGAAGTCTACATCTGGTTATTTGGTTATCTTTACTGGGGAGCTGTTTCATGACAATCTAAGCTTTAGAAATAAGTTGTGTTGTCCACAACAGAAGCCCAGATTATTGCAGCTATAGAAGCTTGTAAAGAGCTCCTTTGGATGAAGAAATATTTTTGTGAACTTGGCTTTGTGCAGAAGAGGTATGTATTACATTGTGACAATCAGAGTGTTATACATCTTAATTAGTAAAAATCCTACTTTTCAAGGTAAATCTAAACACATTAATGTTCGTTATTGTTGGATTCGAGATGTGCTTGATCACAAGTAATTAGAGTTTGAAAAGATTTATACAGATAATAATGGTTCTGACATAATGACGAAGGCTGCTGAAGGAGAAGTTTAAAACTTGTTGTTTAATTGCCGGTTTGGCAACCACCTCCACACAGTTGGGAGGTGGGAGATTTGTTAGGTTTGGGATCCCAATTATGTGTTCATTTTAATTTGAAGCCCCAAATTTGGAGAGCAATTCTCAAGCCCATTTTAGTCCACTTTTGAGGGTAAAAGTCAATAACCATCCTTGTGAGAGTATTGCTCCATTCTTACAGAGAGAGAGAGAGTAGAAATAAGATGTACTCCGACATCCACGTATAAGATTTACTCTTTTACATTGAATGGATTTTTCAAATTTCGTGTCTCTTATCGTTTTATTTTTGTGTTTGTATCATGCATCTTGTTGCTTGCTATTGTTTTAGGAATATTTTTGTTGCTCTTCACCGATTTTTTCAAGAGGGAAAGGTGTTGATCCTGGGCACAACACACTTATTTGTGTTCTCGTTGTCCCAACACATTGTACATGCTCTTAACTAATTACCAAGTTTTGACTCACAAAAATGCTAGGGCTATTTAAGAGTACACCCTAAGTGCTCCAATGTTACATACTTATGTACGTAAAAGAAAAAAATTGTAGTAATAATAAAATAGATGGTGTACATTTGAGGTACACATTTGGTGTACCGGCCCTAACACCCCTCTTTGAAATAATGTTGGATGACTCAGTCTAAGGTGTCCATTGGTTTCCCAATTTTTTGGAACAGATAAATATCTTTTCAAAAAACATTTTATTTACATTTATTTGTTTCACGAAGACTATTCCTAACTCCTTTATTCATAGAGCATTTGACTTTATTTATTCATTTGGGATGAGAATGGGTACCCAATTGTAATCACAAAAGCGATCAACTTGATATACTCTTTCGTTTGAAATTAGCTGACCATCTTTCATTTTTAATTATTTATTTATCAAAGAAATTATGATAGTTTGTTTAAAGGGTAATTTACCTAAATAGGATTAAAACATAATGACTTTTTCAATATAGGATAATATGTTTTTATTTCCCAATGTAGGATCATTGGTCATTATCTATTAGTCATTATTCAACTAAATATCCAGTATAACTTGGACATTATTCTTCTCACTAGACATTATTAAGTCTTATTTAGGAATAAAAAAGTTTAAGTGGTAGTGGATATTTACCATAAACAATGTTCGTTTAAGCACTTTGACTAATCAAATTCTCTCAATGTGTAAGCCTAAAAATAGTCATGTGTGATCTTGTTTGATTCGTCTTAACATATAGATTATTAATATATAATTTTTATAATTTTTTAATATACAAATTACAAGATAAAATGGATTAAAGAAGTGCATTGGATAGTGTGCAAAAATGAAAGTGGACAAACACTTAGGGACGGAGGGAGTATTTCCTTTAAAAGAATTGGAGATTATTTAGAGATGATCTAAACAAAAAAAAAGGAAAGTGTGACACTTAAACAAAGGTGAAGGGGTGGTAATGTACATTCCATCTTTTTCCAAAGGATTCATATTTTCTGTGACTTCGATAGTAAATTTTTGGAAAAATTTACCTTTTGTTCATAGGTACAAAATGAAAATCAATCTTTGTTTTGATGTCTTTTTCAAGTCTTTTATTATTTTCAAACTATATTACTCCGTATTACTTTAGCTTGGAATTGATTTCATATTTTTACTTAAAATATATATTACCTCTATGGCTCCATCTCCAAAACAAATTCCTAATACTCCCTCCGTTCCTTTAAACTCTCCCACTTTTGACTTTGGGTAAAAGTAAGGAAAGTATAATTTTGGTTGACTTTCCAATTTTGCCCCTGATGTAATGAGTAAAAGTAAGATGTGATGGATTGATTATTAGACAAAAAGTATGATGTGATAGGTAGGGTATGAAAAAGTAAGGGTAAAAATGGTTTTTTAATAGAAAGTGGAAGTATTTTAAAGAATTCAAAAAAAACGAAAGGGGAAAAGTTTTGTGGAACGGAGGGAGTACAATTTAAAGAAATTTAATAAAAATGTTGAAAAATAAATATCGTGTGATTGAAATTTATTATTCACATTAGAGGAGAGAAATTTTATGAGGCACATGTTGGGGAAATTCGTATATGACACGGATTTGTTTGAGAGCCGTGCTAATACTTTTATATTGATTATTTGAACGTCCATTTCAAATTTAATCAGATAAAACTCAAACTTTGTTGTTCAAGAACAAATATGCGTTATGATGAATTTTTCCGAACTCTCTTTGTTTTTCAACTAGACTTTGCCGGATTCATATAGCCGTGGGAGAAAGGAAAAGATGCGGTTGCGTCTCTTTCCTAGGATACGCGACTAGTCATGCGAGATTTAGGAGAGAAACAGTTTACAAAAAAAATCTTATACCCAAATTTCGAAAATAAAAAATTCAAGTGAATTTTTTAACACAATACTTTGTCCAAATTCAAAGTGAAAATCTTAT